TTGGTTGAACCACCTGAAGGGGTCAAACCTATATGGTGTAAATGGGTTTTCAAGAAGAAAACTGGCATGGATGGTAATGTACAAACATACAAGGGGTGATTAGTCGCTAAAGGTTTTCGACAAGTTCATGGCGTAGACTATGACGAAACATTCTCCCTTGTAGCTATGTTTAAGTCCATCCGGATCTTGCTCGCAATAGTTGCATTCCATGATTATGAAATCTGGAAAATGGACGTCAAAACCGCTTTCCTTAATGGAAAACTTGAAGAGGATGTGTATATGACACAACCAGAAGGTTTTGTCATTCCAGGAAATGTTGGAAAGATTTGTAAGCTACAGAGGTCTATTTATAGACTAAAGCAAGCTTCTCGAAGCTGGAATCTTCGTTTCAATGATGCAATCAAAGAGTTTGGTTTTATCAGAAATGAAGATGAGCCTTGTGTTTATAAGAAGGCTAGTGGGAGCATTGTTTCTTTCCTAATCTTGTATGTAGACGACATAGGAAATAATATACCTACTTTACAGTCTGTTAAGACTTGGTTAGGTAGTTGTTTTTCTATGAAAGATTTGGGCGAGGCAGTGTATATCTTAGGAGTTAAGATATATAGAGATAGATCAAGACAACTTCTAGGTCTGAGTCAAAGTACATATATAGACAAAGTGCTGAAAATGTTCAGTATGGAAGAATCCAAGAAAGGATTTTTGCCTATGAGACATGGCATTTCTCTTTCGAAGGAAATGTATCCTTCAACTCAACAAGAAAGAGAACGAATGAATAAGATTCCATATGCTTCGGCTATTGGTTCTATCATGTATGCCATGATATGTACTCGACCAGATGTATCGTATGCTTTAAGCATAACGAGTCAGTATCAAGCAAACCCTGGTGAAAATCATTGGTTGCGGTTAAAAATATCCTTAAGTACTTAAGAAGAACTAAGGATAAATTTCTTGTCTATGGAGGGGAGGAAGAGCTTTGTATAAAAGGTTATACTGATGCCAGCTTCCAAACTGACAAGGATGACTCACGATCGCAATCAGGTTTTGTGTTTTGTCTTAATGGAGGTGCTGTGAGCTAGAAAAGTTCGAAGCAAGACACAGTAGCTGATTCTACAACAGAGGCCGAAGCCAGTGAAGCAACAAAAGAGGTTGTTTGGATCAAGAAGTTTATATTGGAATTAGGGGTTGTTCCCAGCATATCAGATGCTGTAGAACTCCATTGTGACAATAATGGAGTCATTGCACAAGCAAAGGAACCCAGATCTCATCAACGATCCAAACATATTCTTAGGCGTTTTCATCTCATTCGAGAGATCATAGATTGAGGAGATGTGGAAATATGCAGAGTACATATGGATGACAACATTGCTAATCCCTTGACGAAGCCTCTTACACAGCAGAGGCATGATCGTCACACTGAGTCACTCGGTATTAGATATGAGTGATTGATCTTAGTGCTAGTGGGAGATTGTTAGAGTATGCCCAAAGACCAATCATATGATGATTGTAATAATATATTTATTTACCGATTTTATTGAATAAATGCATTGCCACTATTATTTTCAGTTATGTGCTTGTGTTTAACATAAACTGAAAGATAATAAAGTCCATATAATAACATTATTAAAAGATCCATAGTCAAGTATTAATATGGGCATGGACAATAATAATACGCTTAAGACTAACATGTTATTGATTGATGACAAGGAGTTGTCATTGACATAGAGATGTCAGAATTGATACATGATTATATTGTTAGAGAACAATGTATTGGATTGACCCATCATGGGCATATGTCTTGGATTATTATGTAACGGTCATAACATTGCTCATGGTGATGACTATATGTATGATCCTCATACTTGAGATCAATGTCATCCCAACATATATTGTTGTATGTTTTGATACATTTAAACATGCCTCGTAACTGGTTGCACTATAAAGACTGTTATTGAATGTATTTCGATATATGTAGTGGGGCGTATATGGTTAAGATAGGATTTGTCCTTCCTACATAATAGGAAATATATCACAGGCCATTTGATTGAGAAAGACTAGAAATGCATGGCCATGCTCGAATAAGTTGATATGTGTGGGTTATACAAGTGTGACTATTCTAAGACTTGTGCCTATTCTAGATATAAAGGACAAAAGGATGTAATACATAAAAGAGTTAATCACGAAGATGATATGTCGAATCATATTTTTTTGTAACTTAGGTTACAATGATATATTGCTAGATGTCACTCATTGTATGTAATATTAGAATTGTTCTAATAATTACTACTAACGTTACAAGAACCTACAGGGTCACACCCTAGGATTGGAATGAGCAAAAATGAACAATTTGTCGTATGTTACTAAAATATATCTAGAGTTAAGATATGTATATTTGATATACATATGATTTTAATTATCACGAATATAGTAAGTAAGCATTAAAAGAATGTAATTTAGATTACAACCCTTTTAATTGGTATATATAATTCGGAATAATTAAATAAGTTATTTTTAAAATAAACATTAAAGATTATAATTCAGATTATAAGTCTTTAATGTATATTTAATTGAATTAATTAAATAATAGTTTATTTATTAATTCGAAATAACTTCAAAAACCCTAAGATATTAGGGTAATGGATATAAAAGGGTGTGTTAGGCCTAGCAGCCGTTTTTTAACACACATATAAACCTTCAGCAGTTTTCTCTCAAAACAGTTTTAGAAAAAACAAATATTGCTCTCAATCGGGTGAACTGAGTAGAGGCCGAGACGTGATTTCGTGGAAGCTTACGATTCGAACCGATCTACACCACCAGTATTCACTGCTGTCCTTGTTGTTTTTCAAGGAACACGCTGTAAGTATTCATGTCCCTTCCTCCCGATTTCGGTTTTACGTACTTGGATCGCTGGTGAGACCGTTGAGTTTTGTTTCCGCTGCGCCGACAGTCCCAACAGACTGGGCAAGCAATACGGATGATCGTCGATCAGTATCAGGATCCTTTGTAATTCTTGGCAGTAACCTCATATCGTGAAGCTCCAAGAAGCAAAAAACGATTGCTCGTTCAACTACAGAAGCAAAATTTTATAGTGTTACCGATGTTGTTTTTGATATTGTATGGCTCAAAAACCTTGCTTTTTGATATGGGAGAACAGTCTGTTGATGTTCTGGTTGTTTGGTGTGATAACCTTAGTGCATGAGTGCCAACCCCGTGTTTCACGAAAAAACGAAGCATGTTGAATTGGATATGTGCTTTGTTAGGGTGAAGGTGGTAAGCAAGGAAGTGTGTAAACTACGTGCCTGTTGATCATCAAATTGATGATGCTTTGACTAAACCTTTAACCAAACCATCCTTTGCAAACTTTCGACAAAGATTTCGGGTCACAAATGGTGAAGAACCAGAGGAGTAGAGAGCTGTTATTTTGCATAATGAAGGTTGTTAGATTTGTTATATGAGCTGGAAGGTTGTTATGACGTCACCTATATAGTTATCCTACATTCTAGAACCTTTATACCTCCTATAAATGTAATTACGGTGAAAAACCTAATAGAGCATCGAATAATATATTTTATCTTCTGAAAATGTTTATTGTATTTTCTTTTAAATAGTTCAACAAGTTATGATTTGATTCAGTTTCTAATTGAGAACTAAATTATAAACGTTGAAAGTTAAAAGGATAAAGTGTAAACTTTGGAATTTACTATGTTTAAGTAGAAACAATGGTAAAATGAAAGGATTTATTGTTTGATTATACACTTGAAGCTAATTGGTGGAAATTGATGGCAATGATAGCTAAGTGTCACATTTTTGTATTTTTTCCCCTAATTATACATGTTTCGTCTTAATATGTATTATTATCAAAGGAGTTTATAGCATTGTTCTAATATGATTTTACCTCTAAATTATACGCTATGTTAGAGGAATGAGAGATGTAATACCATTTCATCATTAGCTTTATCACCACTGTCAACCCTAAGAGCTCTAAAGAGAGGCATCTAATAACCCTGGTTAGTGGTCTAAACCTTAAATTCATATTTTGATAGTATTTATTTCATCATCAAGTACAAGTTAAACTCTAAATTCTAAACTCATTTATGGATTCATTGTAATTTAGAATTTTGTGTAAGATTTCGATGATGAATGTTTCTTTGAATTTGTGTATTGTTTTTGCTAGAGAAAGAGAATTTTGTGCAAACCCTTAATTCAAAAGAAAAAAAAAACCATTGATTAATATATTGATCTGAGGCGTTTTGAACGTTTAGGATAGGTATGTTTAGTCATGATCGAGTCTATGTGCTTGTGGATGCATGTTCAGTTTTGATTGTGTAAGTTATCATATGTAAATGTAATAACTACGTGTCTTGGCTCTGCTAGAACACTTTAGATGACAATTATGATGACTCAGTAGTCTTCGATAAGCTATTATGATGTTGTATGATAATTCTTATTTTTTTTTTCTTTTTCTCTGATTCTGATATATGCTCATATTTTATGTGGATTTGGAGTTTGATATATAAAATTATACTAAATCGATATATAAGATATTATTTTCTAATACGATCATTGTTAAAACATAATATAAATTGGTTACAAAATATATTTTGAAATATGGTGATCAAGTCATTTGTTTGGTAATTTAATCAAGTCTCAAATACAATTGACATTTCATAGAGTACATAACAAATGTGAATGAATATTGTATACACTCCGGTCTTTAGTAAGGAAAACTCGAATGATTTAACAGTGGTGGAAAAAGTTCATATTGATCAACAACTTACAATTCTCTTCACAACTAGAGAAACCACAATCACTACAACAAAAACCGTGGCACTTTATTATTATTGTCAGTTTTTTTATGTGAATTTTATTCATGAACTATATTTGATTAAACAGCTGAAAAACTATAGCAATTTTCTGATAATTCAAACAGAAAAACCTACTGCCTTGAAGAAATTGAATCCAAATGAGATTCTTGTATATACAGCCATGAAGAGTTTAAATCCAGTTCAGATTCTTGGTATATATGATAAATGGCAGAAGATAATTCTAATATGAACATTATGGGCTAGAATCAAGGCCCGTGAACTTGATTGATCAGCCATTGAGCATCAAAAGGTGAGGAGGCTCGGCCTCGACATTGGGGCAGATTGTGGCGGATTGGTGAGCATTTGAACAACTTCTCTCATGGCTGGCCTTGTAGAAGTCTCGTCCTCGACGCACATCATGGCTACCTTGAACAGATGGGTGACCGCCACTAGTGGATATTCACTTAGCCTGGGATCAACAATCGCCAACACCGAAGCAGGATCCGATGGTTCGGGTTGTTCTGATGTGATCTTCCTCACCCACCTCACAATGTCCACACCATCTCCAAATTCCCCTACAGGTTTTCTCCCTGCAATCAGCTCCAACAGCACGACACCAAAACTGTACACGTCGCTTTTCTCGTCGACCTTCAGTGTGTAGGCGTACTCTGTTGTATAATACATCACAATAACCAGGCCAATGTCAGTTAGTTATCCTATACTTCATATTACAATACTCTTTTTCATCTTAATTATTAGTCTGGATTATAATACAAACCTGGGGCGATGTAACCATATGAACCGGCAATGGAGGACATGCACTCAGAAGCACCAGTATTTTGCAAGAACTTAGCCAACCCAAAATCGGCAACATGAGCCTCGTAGTCTTCATCAAGCAATATGTTGTTTGACTTCACATCCCTGTGTACAATCAATGGCGAGCAGTCATGGTGAAGATAACAAAGTCCCTTGGCGGCTTCCACGGCAATCGTATACCTTCTTTCCCATTGCAAATGTGCACCCTTTGCCCCATGCAACATTTCTCCTAAGCTCCCGTTAGGCATGTACTCATACAACAACAGATTCGTGTCTTTGTTCGAAACATAACCCAACAGTCTCACTATGTTTCGGTGCCTGATTCGACCCAGGGTTTGAATCTCCGCCAAGAACCCATGATCGTTTCTTCCAGCTCCACCACCCACCAATCTTTTAATCGCCACATCGAGACCATCAGGCATGGAACCACGGTAGACAATCCCAGCTCCGCCTTTCCCTATAACATTCTCGTTCTTCAGGCACTCAAGGACATCCTCGGCTCCAAAATCGAGCCTTTGGAATGCAGTGAGCTTCCACGCTCGTGATTTTTGGAGCCTCTTCGTTCTAATTCTGTAAACCGTGACAAATATCAACAACAAACCAGTGACTAACGTGATGATTGTGATTATGAGCTTTGACGCAGTGAAGTAAACTGCATGACCATGACTTGAACCTCCAGCTTTATTTATCAATGCCGGACAAGAAAGGTGGCCCGGTGGACAGAGGTCGGGGTTACTGGCAAACGAGCTATCGTTGAACACTAAAAATTGGCCACCAACGGGGATTCTGCCGACGAAATCGTTGTACGAGAGATCAAGAGTTGTAAGGCTTATCATGTTACGGATTTCACCAGGTATTTCACCAGTCAGCTGGTTTCTCGAGAAATTGAGAATGCTTAAATCTTTAAGCTTCTCAATCCCGTTTGGGATTTCACCGGTGAGACTGTTTCGACTGAAATCAATTGACGTAAGCGAAGTACATCGAGAGACCGATGATGGGATTTCACCAGTAAGATTGTTGTCACTGATGTTGATCTTCGAAAGCAACTCGGTATTAAAGATCTCTTCAGGGATTTCACCTGAAAACTTGTTCATTTCAAGAGACAAAACCTGCAAACTACTCAAATTGCCGATCGACACAGGAATTTTACCAGTGATCCAATTGTTTGAAACTTTCAACTGACCAAGTGAAGCACCGGACATATGCGACGGAAGCTCACCGGAGAAAAAATTGTCACCTAACTCGATCATACTCAACGATGGCAAGTTCAAAATCCCAGCTGGAATAGTTCCATTGAGAAGATTTTTCATAATACGAATCTTTGTAAGGGAATTACAGGCGCCGAGTTCTTCAGGTAGTGGGCCAAAGAAGAAATTTTCCATCATAATCAAAGTCTCCAACTTTCCTCCTTTACATAAATCCCTTGGAATCAACCCAGTTAGATGATTCGAAGCAACGTCAAGCTTATAAAGCTTCCCATTGCGGCCTAGATTCTCCGGTAATTCAAAGGTGAAGTTGTTTCCCCACACTTGAAACACTTCAAGATGAGGATAATCACCTACAAATGATGGAATTGAACCGTAGAGATTGTTCTTGAACAGATTTATAAGTGTAATGTTCTGCAAATCAGAGAAAGTGTCTGGTATCTCGCCTGTAAGTCCATTCATGGAAAGATCAAGCGATTTCAAGCCGACTAAACCAGATAGTTGAGAAGGGATACGGCCATTGAGTCGGTTGAGTTGAAGAAACAATGAGTGTAAGCGTTTCAAATTTCCCAGACTCGACGGAATCTCACCGGTTAGATTACAGCTTGCCATGTCGAGAAGCTCGAGTTGACTCAATGAACCAAACTCAGATGGAATCCCCCCATCATAGGCGTTGAAGTATCCAATTGCCAAGTATTTCAGATTCGTTAAACGAGACAAAAAAGCTGGGCTTTTCCCTGTTAAACCGATGCCATCAAGACCCAAATACTCCAAGCTCTGAATCTCGGAGTATTTCTCCGGTATCTCGCCGCTGAAAAAGTTGCCGCCGAAAGATAAATGCTTGAGAATCTTGAGATTGACGACCTCCATGGGAAGAACACCGGTGAAGTTATTATTGTAAGCGTCGAGAATCTCAAGCTGAGTCATCCCTGTAAGTATTTCACCAGGGAAACTGCCTTGGAAGACATTGTTGGAGATGTTGAGTGTCTTAAGAGAAGTTAAATTCGCCATCTCCATCGGAATCTTCCCGGTAAGACTATCGGACGAAATAGTGAGGTTGACGAGCTTGTAAAGAAGCCCAATTTCAGAAGGAATGATGCCAAAGAGAGGAGCAAATGACACATTCAAAGCAACAACACTGAACTCCTCGTCGCATTCAACACCGTAGAAAAAACAATGCGCTGAGGGAGACGAAGAGAATTCCCAGTCGTCAAGTCCCGAACCTTTGGGTCCAATCATCGAAGACTTGAGCTTCAACAGAACTTCAACATCTGTGTAGCCATTGCCGGTGACCGAGAACAGTACATGAATCGAGAAAACAAAAAGAAGATAACTGCAAAAGCTTCTCATTTCTGGGTTTCTTCGATTGTTCAGAACAAAGGTTGAAGATTCAGATGCAGTTGAAGTGGCTACGTCAAGTAGAGTTGTTCTGTATACAGTGGCTTGCGAAAGAGAATCGTAGTTCCCAAAGCATCAAGCTTTGGATATGAAATTGAACAAATACGAAATCTGAAAAGTCAGTGGCCCCATGGTTCCCACAGTACATTACATGCAATTGAAAATGGAAGATGACTCAGAGATTTAACGTTGAATTTACTATATAGTTTTCAATGCTTGTCAGCTCTCGTATTTTCTGCGAGTCAAAAGTGAGGGGTCCGCCATGGCAGAGACTGAAACGTTAACTCTGAACGGAGGATTAAAAACTGTTAACTGGTAAGGGATTCGTCAGATGAGCGTGGTTTGACGGCGTGATATGCCGGTTCTATAAACTTTGGCCCCGTAATAAATGCAGACTGCGATGGTGTCAGGGATGGAAGCCAGTTGTTAATAATATTCTGTTTAAAAAATGTAAAAACAACCAGAGATTGAGGGTTGTGTTAATAAGAGGATTAAGGGCTGTGAATGTCCTTTCCCGAAGAAAGGACCTTTTGGGCTCTGACTCCGGTTTGGATGTGAGCTAAAAAGTCCACTCTTTTTGTTCTTTTCTCCGATCAGAACCGTCCAGAAAATTAGGGGACCATTGCTCGCATTGCACAAACTTTCTCCTTTTGCTTACCTTTTTTTATTGGATAAAATAAACAAATAGATCTTTACATTATATTTTCTTTTTTCGTCATTAAAAGTTTAAAATATTTATTAGTTTATAGAATTATTATAAAATAATCAATATATTATTATTAATATATATAACCTCAAAAAATTATCGATTCTAAGTCAAATGATGTTTTTAGATAGATTATTTTATTTATATTATTTTTTAATATATATATATATATATATATATATATATATATATATATATATATGAGTGTCATAGTCTTTGACTGGTTATACAAAATTTTCTATAAGTCTATATAATTTACTAGAGTAAAATTTAAGATTTGATCATCATATTTATTTAGCTTGAGGACATACAAATAATAGTCACAATTATACTATATTGGTAAAGCTAGCAAGAATTATTATAAATATTTCTTAGTCACAACATACAGATCTTTTCTACCATCATCTTCATATAAACTCGCATCTTCTCCTTACTTCTTCATTTCACTCATAAAAAAATATAGGTTAACGGTCATGTCTTCACTGATCATGACTCTTTGCCCAAACCATAATGGGTAAATTGTTAATGGTCTACGAGAAAACTTATTCCGGTTAATAATTGGTGATGTGAACATAAACAAGTCGAGAGAATCAGTTAAGATTTATCCAAAAATCAAAAGAGTCATCCTCACGCCCCATCTTCTTCTCAAAATCTACCGAAATGCAAGCGGCTTCTCTAGCTAGTCCGTTGTAAAGGATGAGAGAAACATATAACAAGAAACTTTGTTCTGAGCTTTAATTTTACAAAACGAACTATTCAAATTGTTCCAGCTCAGACCTTACACACATATGTCTGCCCACTGCCCATAGGTATAAGCATATGAATAAAGAGATCGTGCTGCTATAAAGCGCTTTAGTCAAGAAACGGTGCATTTCACGTATCTAAGGATCAATATAGTGTCGAGAGAATGCCCTCAGAATTACAATGAGTCACACCTTGAATGACGACTTTCAATTGAATGGAGTATGAAAATATGAAAAGCTTATACAACAGCCCTCAATGTCACCTCATGGACATCAACGAGAATCATCTTACAGGCATGTATTAATAATAGTTATTGACTAACTTGTTCTGGCAAGAATACCCTTTGCCAGAAACTTTCTAAGTACTCATTGCTAAAGTGCTTAGAAAAACCTCTTCTTATGATAACACGTAATGTTTGAACAACTAATACATATATGTATTGGAATTTAGATACCTCAACTTAAGCTTCGATTTTCCTAGTTATGTTTCTATTATCCTTTGTTTTGTTGTCACGGCGTCAGATGCCTTTATTGTGCTAAACTAGTTGGGATGCCTCTACTTTTGGATTAGAGCATTGAGCTCTCTCCGCTCTGACTATTAAGACGCCTCTGCTCACAGGCTAAAAGAGTTGAGATGTCTCTGAACGTGAAGAACCCTCCTCTCGTTAACTGTTGATAAATCGGGTAAAATAAATGAAAGAACACAAGAATTTTAACGAGGTTCAACAATGTGTTTACGTCCTCGGTGCCTAGGCGGCGTAGAAAATTTTATTCAATTCTCATAGGTTTAGGATATATCTCTATTTATAATAGAAAATCCTGGTACATAATTACAAAATTAATCTTGTACCGTACCGCGAGTGGTATATTTATGAGCCATACCTTACATTAACTGTATAATCATTGAGTGACCTCTGCACCTATAAAATAATGAGTTGACTTCGAGGGCATCGATTTGCCTTTACCCCATCTTACGACTACGACTTTACCTGAGAGGTTTAGATATCTCCGTTTTGGTGTCGAGATTCTTTTTCCCTGCTTTTACCACAACAAAGATACCTCAGTTCTACCTATCGTAAATGGTACGCGTTGAGATGCCTTTACACCAATCGTAGTGCATTGTTAAAAAGCAGTAGCCTCATCCACCTGTCGAGAAATCTTTAAGATGTCTCAGACTATAGGATTATGCGCTAAAACTAACCAAAAGATTTGATAGCCTTTAACAAGTTTCAAGATGCCTCCACTTTGAAACTATTGCGATACTTTTGAAAACCTAGTTGACAAAGAAATGAAAAAGTTGGCCTTTCACCTTTTTTTTCATGACGACAAAAATACCCCATCCCTACAATTAAATCTCTTTAAGGGTAATGAGATGCCTCCCCTCCATCTATTGTTGTTAACGATCTAATAGAAAAAGTAAAAAAGTCTCCACTGCCCTCTTTAGTGTCAATCTATTAAGATGTCATCCTAAATACTTCGTATGAGACATCACCTTTTACGAGAAACATTACAAGGAGCATTAAGAAAACGGAATAGAAAAAACTCCACCTTCTTTTATGGCATCCTTCCCACCACAAGATTAAAACTTTCATATCTAGTGTTGAGAGCCTTTACGCAAAGATGTATACACTCAACGTCGAGGTCCTATGCTAAATAACACAACATAGAAAGGCCTCTGCTAAATAACACAACATAGAAAGGCCTCTGCTAAATAACACGGCATAGAAAGACCCTTTCTATATTCATACTAAAGAATCAAAGCACATCCGATTACATCTCCACCTCAAGCGTTATGACTCATTACCTTAAAATTTTTTCACAATAAAATCATTCTTTCGAGAATGAATAGCTTCTACCAATAACATAACAGATATTTATAGAATATACTGTGAAACATAAAAGATAGCTCCACGTTAAGCAATGAGATCTTTCCCTGTCAATAGACAAAAAATAGTCTTCAAACAATACTTTATGAAGCGCTAAATCTTTATGTTAAGCGATTAAAACAAATCCACTTAGCAAGTTCTTGATGACTGAAAATTCCTCTGCAATTAATAATCACTGATTCCAAGAAGATACATTTACTTCACTAAACAATAAAATAAGACCATTTTTTATTATATCAATTTAAGCCTTGAGAATCCTCCAGGAGATATAATGGGAGTGGAGATATCTTTGTCCATATCTAAAATTCAAAATATTAACAAAAGTGTATAAGGATGTATAGATCCTCCGCAACATAAGTGTTGACATATCTCCATTCACTTAATAGATTAAACGTTCTACTACAAGCGTCGAAATTCTTAATTTAATACCCTAATCTCAAATAAATAATAAACATAGTGTAGAGAAATAGAGCTCAACCCACAGAGACTAAGAAAGTCTGAATAATTTGTTTGTTTTGATAGTTAGCTTTTAATTGCAAAAGTAAAAATAAGGGTTTAAAAATAATGAAAGTAATAAAATAATAAAATAAATAAAAATAAAAAATTGATGAGAAAATAAATAAAGTAAATAAAGTAGAAGAATTCAATTGAGATGATATAGCCTTAGGTTTTTCTTAGCCTCAATTTCGATCGATCACCAAAATAGAATTCCCTTCATGACATGCATTGATTACAGTCAACAATGTTCAACCCCTACAACTAACTCTTCTCTCTAGTTAACTAAAATTTTCAAATATATATCCGAATCCAGTCCTAATTGGTCTAACAATGTCTATCGCCATTAGATTCAGAATAGCTTTTTTTTTTGGAAAAGCCTGACTTGGGTTATAATGTCTCACGAGAATCAAACTCGGTCTTGATTCCCCTTAGGAATCAATCCGATTTTTAAACTTCAACCAAAAACATTTTTCAAATCAATGTGCACTTTTTGAGTTTAAGATGTGGTAACTTTTAAGAGAATGGTCAATTGTCACTCTTAGTTTCCAACTAATCAAAGAATACAATCTGAAGGAATAAAGATCAAGACACTTAATTCTCACGATTAGAGTAGAGCATCGCAAAAGCATTTAACTAAATAGAAGTTTAGCTAAATATGGATTGAATTATGCTTAGTATTGTGAAAAGAAAATAATGAAATTAAAGTGGAGATGAAATAAAAGCAAAACATCAATAATTAACCAAGGTAAAATAAATTATAATTTGTCTTTCAACTATTGAATCTATTGGGTATTTCTAATCCGAGAGTTCTAAGTAAATAAATAACTAATTTCTAAATAAAATATAATAATAAAGATAAAATAATCAAACTAAAAATCTTATTAAGAATTCTTAATAAATAAAATAACTAATTCCTAAATAAAATATAATAATTAAATTAAAAATCATAAATTAAAAAGGTTTATCACAAAAGATAAAAATAAATATTTAAGTATAGTAGTTCTGGTTGAATTTTGATTCATCTTCTAGATAAACTTATCTTTGGTAAATTTCAAATTAAATATTCAAGATAATTTCGGTCGTCTTCTAAAAGAGACTGAATGGACTGTCGAAATCTACTGAAATTTTAGATAATTAATCCAATGAAACTTATGTCCAAAATAAACTCAAAAGGAAACAAATCAGTAATATTGAAGCAACAAATAAGGAGTAAATAATTGTAAAAATATGCAATATTCAACCCTAATCAAATTCCCCCCACTTATTCAATGTTTGGCCTCAAAC